TTCTAGCTGTGAAGTGACGGTGCTAAACAACTGTACCACCCATATCTGAAAGCTGTTACCTGTGTGAAAGACTGTCAGACACCTACGGGCTCAGATGTTGTCGCTCAGTTATAAAGATGCAGACAGGGGGTGAGGTCATACGGATTCACTCCTCACCATCCTCTTCCAGGCACTGCGGTGTCTACACCTCTGATTATCCCGGCCTCAAGTATGTGTGCGTGTGTGGGAACTGTGAAAAATTAACAAAAATAGTTCGTGTTTCTGTGGCAGGGAAAGGATTACAAGAAAAGACCAACAGGCGGAGAGACTGTACGTGCACACATGTGTGTGTTTTGGGGGGACCTATATGAACCGAGGCATGGGACCTGCTATCTGTTTCTCATTTTAGCGCCGTTCTGTGGTTTTCCAGCAGTGACAGGCCAAGGAGTGGAAACTGGCACTAACGAGCAATTACATCCTGCCTGCCTGCCAGGGATTATGGGATTACAGGCTGACCGGGCTTCAGTCTGCGCTCCCTTTCTGCACTCTCATTTTGTCATTCCCTTGCCTTCCTTGTGTTCGCGCTTATCTTTCCTTTCAGACCTCTCCCATTCAGTGGTTCAATTATCTTTTTCTCATTTTTCTTTCCCCTGGAAAGTAACCCATTGTCTATTTTTAATTCTCCTTACTCGTTTGTTCATTATTATCTCATTCTCCTTATCGCTACTCCTCCTCTTCCTCCTCTTCCTAGCCTTTTCTCCTTTTGACTTCATGGCCCCCTCACATAGTTTAAACATGCTGTCGTTAACCGCTGAAGAGTGAAATTGGTTTAGTCGTAAAGGGGAAGAAAGGACACTTATCAAGAGCAAAATACATTTAATGTGCATGAACTTTTAATAAGAAGGGTGAAAATGAGAAACAAAGGGTAGAGGGTGAGAGTCAGGAGAATGGCACGTTAATGTCTGAGTTTAAGCCGTAGCCCCAAATTACAAATTTGTCCCAGAAGACACAAGTTTTTACTGTTTAACACCCTGGAGTGTTTTGTTTTGTACAGATTAATGAAAAAAAACTGAAAATCCTGTCAACAGCATGTTACAAGCAAGATTAAAGTAAAGTTCACGCTGGTTAGATGCATATATCTGTGGAGCTTTGGGGCACAAGCTGATATTATGCTACCTTTTCGAGGGGACCTCCCCAGATTTCTTGGTGTCTGGTAGTGATCAGGCGGCTCTCCTGGTGTTCAGCCTCTTTCTCCTCTTACAGGTGTCTTTTATTGAGCCAGCGGTGATTTACTGTACTCTTGTTTTTCTCCTCGCTCCTGCAATCAGGCACCGTGGTAGTGACAGGTTAAAGCTGGAGGTCAGAACATTTTACCGGCGTTCACACAGCAGAAAAGAGAGCGACTCTAATAGGAAGTTATTATCGGCGTTTGGGTTTTGTGGGGAGACTAAACACCAGAGAGCTTGGAGCTTTTTTTTCTTCTTCACAATAGTGAGAGGTTTATGGAGGCTCTGTGAGTAACGCTCAGGTCTGTAATAGTATACAGTGAACCCACAGATCACTGACCAGAAAAACATCTTGGTGAGTAATAGACGGGAAATCAATGTAATATTTATACGGCCTTACAATTGTACAGTATAGCTGCAGAAAAAGTTCAGGGAAAAAAGAGTGTTTGAGACAAATGTGTGACAGATGTGTGAGGTATGTCACTAATGAGGCTGATTATGACTCAGCAAGTAGAACAGCAGATTCTGCACAATATGTTTAAATGAGGATGAAGGGGGCCTAAAGGATTCTTTGGGTTTTATTATCTTATAATATATATTATATTAACTTTTATCTTTCAGACAGAAAAGTGAAATCTAAAGAGAGACATTTTACTGACTAAACTTATACAGTTGCTTTTTAAAAAAAACAAATTTTAGATGCTGTGTTCCCCTAAACGAATCCCATATTGACCTCTTATATAATAGAAAAGCATGTTTCTGTGTTGCATGACTTTTGTGGTTTGTATGTTTTGGTGCTCATAAGATGAAGGCCCAAATTATCCCAAATTTTTCCCTGCTTCAGTTCAGCATGCATTCTGTCCAGTTAACTGATGTTAGTTTTACATTGGGGTCCTCTTTTCTAGAAGCTGGTGTCTTTTCTTATATCTCAAATAAATATTCCCTGAACACAGTCTGCATCCACCCTGTGCAAGCACTTAAACACCATTTGGAGTAGCTATGCACTCCAGTCCTGTAAGCTCCGCGAGTATTAACTGGCTCTGTCTTCGTGGGTTGCTCTCGCTTCTGGAGAGGTTGCCCACTTAACTAACTGTGAACAACAACCGCACCGCTGAGGAGCAACAACGTAAATGGAAGGTGACAAGAACTCTTTGCTGCAGACATGCAGGCTGATGGACAAACCAAAGCCTTTAATCAGCCAAACAAGGAAGAAACATATGCTTAGCTGTCTAAACACACACACACACATATACTGTATATATCAGCAAGCTTGTGTCAGTCTGCAGCTCTTCAGGACCTTCAGTGGTGTGCTCTTTCTTATTTCCCCCTCTCTCCACCCCTCAACTCCTCCTCCCATCTCTGAAAAGCCTGGAGGCGTCGGGCTGTAAACAGCTCCACAGAGCCGGCGTGAAATGAACCAGCAGACAGGCCCATGTAGACTCCCAGCTCATTGATCTAAAAAGGGCTAAACACTCCCAGCTGTGGCATTAGGGGTTGAGAATGGCACCTCTCCAGAGACTCGGTGAGGATCTGCAGCCCCGTGTCCCACTTCACACTGCTGTTAGTTTCTTAATCAGCTCAGAGACAGTCGGAGATACAGAGCCCAGGAGTTGGAACGCTTTGGCTTTATGTCGCAGCGGCGGCGTCTGTTTTTCTGGCTGAGTTACGATCAGTTTGTCTCTCAATGTCCTCTTGTTCCCTCGCCCAACCCTCAGTGTGTGTAACCTCACTTTGCCTGGACTGGATCACCACAGCTGGAACAAGCAGGATTGCATAAATGCACCAACAGGTCTTATCAGGACCTGTGATCCATAACCTTTTGTCAGTCTTCCATCTCACTGCACAGACAGAACTTCTTTGTGACTGTTAAATAAACATGGTGCGCTGCATATCGGCGAGATCTATAGAGACGTGAACGGTACACGCTGGAATACGCTACAGTGGGCGTGCAGTGTTGCTGTATGTAGTTCAGTGCCAAAGTTACACAAAGCCTCTCGGAGATGATAGATGTGGTTTCAAAGATGTTGGAGGTAATTGTGGGCAGAGTGCTGTTTCAGAAAAAAACATGTTCGTGTCACATTTAAACAAGTCAAGCACGCTGAAGTAATTCATTTATTAGCAGGCAAGCGGGGAAATTTCATTTACAAATAGTCACAAAGCGAAAAAATGAATTTAAGCAGAAATACAAAAGAGACAAAGAAGGCAAAGACTAAATGAAAGTGAAAAGTGAAAGGAAAGTTTGGTCTTTAGGTTTTTAAATAAAAATCACTGATTTGGCATCTTGTAGACTAAGAATCACCTGATTACCTCATGTATTTAATCTTAAATACATCATGTATTTAACCTTGATTACCTCATGTTTTTAACCTTGATTACCTCATGTTTTTAACCTTGATTACCTCATGTTTTTAACCTTGATTACATCATATTTTTTTAACATTGATTACCTCATGTTTTTAACCCAGATTACATCACATTTCTAACCCAGATTACATCACATTTCTAACCCAGATTACCTCATATTTCTAACCCCAATTACCTCATGTTTTTAACACTAGCCTTGGAAAACTCATAAATCTCAATCCAACCTCAATATTAATTGAAAAGTAATCAAAAATCAATCATACCCGCATTTTTTATGCTAATTAATATAGCTCCTTGTTTTTCCATCCATCATCATTTATCTAATGTGGACAAAATGTTCCTGAAATTTGAACATAAACAATTCCTTGATAAATGGGCACCTGCTGACGAAGATCCTGTAATATGATCAAACGCTCCAGAATGGCTACTAATGGACCTTGTGATTACACAGTGTTGTTGATGGCTGTTTCTGAGATCAAGGATAAACACTCAATCTCAATCAACGCTCACGATATATTTGGGTTCTGGTCTAATATTTGGACAAAGAAATTGATTCCAAGATGCTCCACTGGACTTTCAGAGTGGCAGCTGAGGTGTATATATATATATAGATTTTATAGTTCATACATGCATGTTCCCAGTCCAAACACCAGCCAATCAAATTATTCACTTAACCTGTGAACTGGTTATCTTTAAAGCTTCCAAGCAGTGTGAGCCACTGTTTTGGTGTCCGGCTGCATATGTTGAGCATTTTAAAGATGTTTTTCTTAAGTACTAAAGCAATATAAAGAAGAAACACCTACAACTTTGTGATAGTCTGATCTTCTTTGAGTTCCCCTTTTGGGAGGCCACAGTTTAACCTGATGACCTCATGTTGCAGGCGCTCCGCAGCCAGCACAATCCTCCACACAGCACGTACTATATATAAACATCTGCATCCGTGACACTTCTTATCACCTGTCCTGCATCTCTGTGGTTTTTGTCTGGGACCTCCGTGAAGTGCTCTTGCCATGCCTGGTTCCCCCTGCTTGTACCTCTGCCACAGGAATAACCCTAAAGAATGCCTTTGACAAGTAAATTGCAGATACTGGCTTTTGTTGCCGGACTGGGGTGGTTTGCATGGATGTATGAACAGACAAGCCAACACTAGCCACAGTAACTGGCAGCATACACTAGTCTCTTACTGAAGCAGCAACCAAAACATTGTCCTCATGTACTGAGGACGTGATTTATGTGACATGTCGGCTTGCTCAGGGGCCCATGGGCCTGTTTTCTTTTACAGTATCTGGACAATTGTGAATGTATACACACCATATCGCCCGCATGTTGTCCCTTTAGTTTATGTTATCCTTTTCAAAGGAGTTCTAGGAGGAGGAAAGTTGAAGCCTTGTTCTTGTTCTTAAATTCCTCTGTCCCTCTCTTTCTTTCCAGGTGGGACCAGATGGAGGATTCGGAGGGCGGATAGACAAGACGTTACTTCTGCAAAGGGCAAGGTTTGTCTGCAGCAAGCACACTCATACTTACCTCTCCTTCAACTTCTGCCTGTTTTTCTCTTCACCTCCTTTCTGTTCTCCATCTTTTTCACACTCACTTAAATGAAATCCTCCTCTGTGCATATAAGCTCACCTTATAAGTTTTCGACTCGACTGTGCAGACCACTATAAACCAGAGCAAGAGTTATGTGTGTGTATAAATTGTTAATAAAATCCATCCCCGCCAGACTCAGAAATGAGCTTTTCATGAAGCCCTGTCAGCACCGAAGCTTTCGGTGCTAAATGATAAGCCAGCGGACGGAGCTTGATCCAAGGCGGAAATAAAGCAGAGTTATTTGACTTAAGTATCACTGAAGATGAAACAGGCTTGAGACAAAGTGCTGCTGCAGCTCTTTTGCGGGGCTTATTAAAAACCTGTGTGTTTTAGAAGCTCTTCTGAGTAGAATCTTATTATCTTTATCAGTTTTATATCTGTAAAGCTCCCCATCAGCTGAGTTTTGTGGTTAGGCAAATTATTCCTCTGGTGTTAACTAATATTTGTTTGTAATTACACTTCTCTGAAAACTTGCTACCTTAGAAACCTTAGAACTACTCTACTTACCTTAATATGTCTTAATATGTCTTATACAATCTACATTAAAGAACTGTTATAGATAGATAGATAGATAGATAGATAGATAGATAGATAGATAGATAGATAGATAGATAGATAGATAGATAGATAGATAGATAGATGCATGCCAACCAGCTCCATTGTGGCTTATGACCATAAAATTATTTCATTTTTATTTATTTATTATTTACTTATTTATTTAAATTAATAAATAAATAAGTAAGACAGAGGTGCAAGATTTACATAATCATAATAGTAAAAGAACTACTCATCCCACAATGCATTGTAAATCTAAGCTCACAAGCTTAGATTTCCAACCATTTCCAACCTTCTTCTTTTCATTTCAGTGTTGTGTAATAATAGTGCTGAAGTTTGTAGTGCGTGTGTGTGTGTAGTAAAGTAATAATAATAATAATAATAATAATAATAATAATAATAATAATAATAATAATAATAATAATAATAATGCATTTTATTTGAGGGCGCCTTTCAGAAACCCAAGGTCACCTTACAAAAAACACAATTAATAAAAGGAACAGTAGTCATAAAATACATAAGATAAGTTAAAATTACAAAACAGAGCTTGACAACAGATAAAATCAGCATTAAAGCGAATAAGCCAGTTTAAACAGATGTGTTTTGAGCTGTGTCTTAAATACGGAAAGGGAGTCAATATTTCTTAGTGCAGGAGGAAGAGAGTTCAGAGCCGAGGAGCAGAGCGACTGAAAGCTCTGTTTCCCATAGTGATAAGGTGTGAGGATGGAACGGTAAGATGAATAGCAGATGATGATCTGAGAAGGCGGGAAACAGTGGTGATATGGAGCAGGTCACACAAATATGAAGGAGCAGATTTATGGATACACTTGTATGTAAGAAGTAAGATTTTAAAATTTA